CAGGTTTCATTCGCTAGGGCCCCTGGGCAGTTGCCCCCCCCCCTGTCGGCGGGCCTGGCAACAACTACATCAAATCATGTCTTAACATAACTCGACATATTACTAAGGCAAAGATTCAGATTAATATCAAACACCTTAAAAACAGTGCCCCAGGCAAAGATTGTATTTCCAACAGAGTACTAAAATTCTTCCTGAGAATTTCTTATTATATCTAACCAGTCTGTACAACCTATCCTACTATTTAGAGCACTACCCAACAATATATAAAGAAGCAGTTATTATAGTAATTGCCAAATCAACTAAAGTTCTTCAGGACCCTGGTTACTATAGATCCATTAGTTTGATCAATAGTATCGGGAAGCTTTTAGAAAAAATATTATCCATTAATCTCCTTTGGGGAAAAGTAATATCCTGTCAGTCATTCAGAACGCATCTCATCGCAATCACCAGACTGTGGATCATTTAGTCCGTTTAACAGAATAAGTTTTTCAATGGTTTAACTGTAAACATTCTATTTTGTGGCTTTTCCAAACGTTATAAAAGTCTTTGACTCAGTATGACATAATGGCTTACTATACAAACTAAAGGAACTGCATCTTACAGTTACTTTAACACACCGGATTTCTAGCTTTCCCTCTAACTGTAGTGCCAAGATCAAAATCAACGAGACAACCTCCAATTCATTTAAACTACATGTAGGAGTTCCTTAAGGTTCAGCCATTGGTCCCCTACTCTACATTGCTTTTGTAAATGATATCCCACTTCTTAAATTAACCTCCACTCATGCATCTCAATATATCGAGGATGTAGCCGTTTGGAGCATGTGACAGGATTCCCTGGTTCCCATAAATAAAGTTCAATATTCGCTTAATGACGTTGCTTTGTAATTGACATATTGCACTCAACTCAGGTCATCATATTCTACAAATGTTTCAAGAGGGAAAAGAAAAAGAAAAAAGTAATTTAAGTGCAACTAAAATTATACAATTCCTAAATCACTTTCACTAAATTGATTAAATTTCTTGGTATACCGTTTAACAGAAAAGTAACATGAATCAACTGCTTCACTATCAATAACTTCAAAATCAGTCAAAGATCAGGTCACGTAAGGAAAATAGGAGAAATTCATGGAGGCTGAAAATCTGACTCAATTATAACAATTTACAAAGCTTACATTATACCTTTAATGGAATACCGGAACATGATCACATGTAATATTCTGACAACTTACTAAAATAAATACAAACACAGCAAACCAGGGCCATAAGATTATCATATAGGTTGCCTATCTACACACTTAACCATCAATAAAATTCCGAAAATTAAAGACAGAATCAGTAATCTGGCTTGAAAATTCCACTTAAAAGCAATTAACCATAATTCTTTATTCCCATTTCTAGCAGCTACTCCAAAATCATGGTACACTTATCTGTCTCCACCGAATCTTAACAATATTAATTTAATAATGCGTAATTTATAAATGTTTTATCTTTCGGGTTGGCTGCATAGTTAAAGCATTTTTCAGGTAGAATTTTCGGCGCCCAAATAATGAAAGTAGTGTTACGTCTTTGGTCGTTAGTTAATTTTCCGTAAAAATTATTTCCGAAGAAACTTTTGCGATACAAGTCCTTTCTTAAATAAAACTGGTTTATTGTTTCTGAATACAACTTTGCAATACACTTAATTTTCACAGTCACGCTATAATTCACAACGAACGCCTCACGTGCTCGACTCAACAATATGTCTCTCTCTGTCCGCAGTTCAATTACAGTTGTTACTTTACATTGTTGCCGTCACGTCTTGACCGTCTTATATGTACAAGAATACCGAAATGTAGTAAACGCTCGAGCATTCACGAACCTTCGAGAATATGACGTGTTACTAGGGTCGCGTGACCTCCGCTGTCATAACAGTAGGTTTTTCTCGTGGTTCTTCCGTTTGTTTTTTTCTTCCCACATTTAAATTACGGGTATTGGATTTATGGATCCATGACACAAAACATTGAGTTTGCCGACTACTCCATTGTCACTGTAAAGAAGGTCTGTGGTAATATTTTTCGGTGACCAGCTTGCTCTTCCCTGAACATTCCACTCCACACATGATTATACGTATTCACCGCGAACACTTATTATATGTGGATGTATGCTTTTCTTTTACTGGGGTATTCTCTCCTAACCATTCAACCACGTGCGGGATGAAGGGAAAGGAATTTCTGGACATCTCTGATAATGTTTCTAAATTCTGAGGTCATATGTGAATTATATCAAAATACCCGCCAAGATATATAGCTAAAGCTAGAGAGTGAGTTAAAAGATAATCAAGGAGATCATAGGGGTAGTTATTTCAAGATAAAGCATTGAATCAATCAGTGTGTTATCGTGAAGTATTTGTATTTGTATATGCTACAGTGCTTGTTGAGTTATTTTTATAAGTAAGTTTAATTGTTTTACGTTAGTTGACGTCACTTGTAACTCAGGTCTACAACATGTTACAACAGTACAAGTGTTCAAGCTTGTATAAACGTTAAATGAGGGAATAAAATAATTTATTCCAGTCATGTGAGCTGAATGTTAAATTATTTTCACCAGGTAATGTAAGATATTTTGTTTCTTTGTTGTTAAGTGCAAAGCTATACAATAGGATATCTGTGATGTTCTCACCACGAGTATGAATGACGTGTGTGGTTGACCTAAAAATAAAAGGAATTTCCATAATTAAATTGTATTGTTTGTTTTGAATTTCGCGCAAAGATATACGAGGGTTATCTGCGCTAGCCGTCCCTAATTTAGCAGTGTAAGACTAGAGGGAAGGCAGCTAGTCATCACCACCCAACGAATAGTGGGATTGATCGTACATTCCTGGTTTTATTGTTAGAAGTTTCAGACTTACCAACAAGTTATCAGTGAAACACTGTGAAGCAGGCAACACAAGAGAACTCGTCAAAGAAAGAACAACGTTACATCAGTATTTTAATTCGTCCACGCCACGAAACAACCATTAATATAATGTAATTGAAAATATAAACTCTTATAATTTGTTTCTTTATGGTGAAAAAATTTTGTTTTTTACCCATGAATTTCGATAATTTTTTCGTTTCTTTTCGGCGATTAGATAACCAGAAAATATTTTCTATACATTGGCGTACAGGATTGAAAAGTTCAGTAATGAACCGCATAGTTTTCATCAGAAAATTTTGCCAAAAGTTAAAAGTTTTTCTGCAACATAGATATAGTATAACTTGTAAGTTAAGAACTTTAAAGCTGAATTACTAATATTGTTAATTAATAATATTAATATATATTTTACTGAATAATCAAATTTATTGCTTTTATCAACATAAGACTAATATTACAACTACAACACCCCGTTATACTTACGCAATACAGTCCATTCCACTGTCATAGTTTTTTTAAATTTAGATGTTGCTACTTCTGTCGTACCAGAAATCTCATCCCCCGTCCAAATTCCATACGTTTGATGACATTTCGCAGCGCCTTTAAGCTGCGAAATTCTATCACCCTCTAAATTCCATCCTGTCGTATCGTATTGTTACGACAGCGGAAGTCACGCGACTCTGGGAGCATGCGCGCTGGAGTTTCTAGAAGGATCGTGACTTATCGGGAAATCTCACGAATGTCCTAGCGTTTGCTAGATGCCCTCTTTTTTAATATATAAGCCGGAGATAGATTGGAAAGAAATAATTGAGTCAAGCGAACCGTAGGCACCTTAAGTAACGTGTGTGAATCGCTGTGAATTATAGTGTGTGTTTATAAAAGTAGTT